TAAAATTCATAGGTTAGACAGAACAGATGCTGATGCTCAGAATCGTCATAATCACATACAGGAGTCTCAATTTTCCAGATACTGAGCCAAGGACCAAAAGACAGGTAGAATGCCCTCTCCTACCTCTTCTCTATCTGTTTTTGTTTCTAGAGTAATCACAGGTTGGCTGCAGGGGGAGGCAGGCAGAGGTATAAAATATCTTCTGAACATGCCTTGCCTTTGTCTTTGATGGCAGGTTTCTCTAGAGGACGCTTAGGAAACTTAATTAGGGTATAAAAAATAAGCTAATATTTGAATATTCTTGCTCTTTATATGAATATACACATACATTACGGAATAAATTTTTTTTTTTTTTTTTTGAGACGGAGTCTTGCTCAGCCACCCAGGCTGGGGTGCAGTGGCTCCATCTCGGCTCACTGTAACCACCGTCTCCCGGGTTCAAGCGATTCTCCCGTCTCAGCCTCCCAAGCAGCTGGGATTACAGGCACCCGCCATCATGCCCGGCTAATTTTTGTATTTTAGAAGAGACGGGGTTTCACCATGTTGATCAGGCCGGTCTTGAACTCCTGACCTCAGGTGATCCACCTGCCTTGGCCTCCCAAAGTGCTAGGATTACAGGTGTGAGCCACTGCGCCCGGCCCAAGGAATAAATCTTAATGACTATGCTATCAATTTAAAGATCAAAAATGTCATGGAGGCCAGGAGTGGTGGCTCACGCCTGTTATCTCAGCACTTTGGGAAGCCAAAGCAGAGGGAATACTAAGGTCTGGAGATGGAGATCAGCCTGGCCAACATGGTGAAACCCCGACTTTACTAAAAATACAACAATCAGCTGTGTGAAGTGGTGGGCGCCTGTAATCCCAGCTACTTGGGAGGCGAAGGCAGGAGAATTGCTTGAACCTGGAAGGCGGAGATTGCAGTGAGCCAAGATCGGGGCACTGCACTCCAGCCTGGGTGACAGAGCAAGACACTCAAAAAAAAAAAGTAATGGAACAGATACTCTTCAGCTACATACTATGTAAAACAATATACCGTTTTTTCAAAAAGTGATATATAAAAGTTACAACATGGATCTTTACCTGGGTCACAATCTTCTATGGCTTCCCACACATCCTCTGTAACTAAGGATAACTAGTTTGTCAAAACAAAACCAATAAGCCTAAAATACATGATTACACAACTAAGGTATGCTTTATTTTGAAAACTGTCACTTTCTCTTTAGAGGTTACTTGGTCTTCAATCAAGGACTATGGGGGCGATTTAACTGGAAAAAGTCCGTTTTTAAAAATGTTTTATACATAATAGTGTGTTTTATTAAAAACTGAAACCGCTTAAACCGCTGATTGCTACCATTCTTGCTTTGACAAAACTATCCGAAGCTAACACGTTGAACTGGTCAAGACTCAACTCTCAATCATTTTACACAGTTTTGGAAAATTACAACAAAACATAACAAAAGCCATTCCACTCTGGTGTGAGGTGCCACGTTTGAAGTAATTATATAAATAAATCATGGCTTTAAAATACAAAATGCTTAACTGCTTTTTTAAAAATTGAAAAAAAAAAATAACTAGCCTTGAGTCGTGAAGATCATAGATTAAGCTCAAAGCAAATAAATACGCATTATAAGCAGCATACACTTAAGAGTAGTTACTCTTAGCAAATCCCTGAAACGGTAATGGTATTTCAGTAAGGGACTGGTATTTTGGCTTCCCTGGACTTTTCTGGAGAATACAAAACTGAAAAGGCCACAATCTCTGCAGGTCGGCAAAAGAAAGGCTTAGACTGGAGGATCCCTGGATTGGGACAGGAATAGAGGATTGCCTCAGATCTAGAACTAAATACGATTCCGTCTTTGTGTTTATAGAAACTAAGACGAAAAACCACACTGCCCCACAGACAGCTCCAAACTCTGTGGAAGAGAGAAGGGCGGGTGGGCGGCAGGTGTCAGGCAGTTTCCACTCCACGTCTCTGTCGACTGTCGCCGCCCCCCACCCTCCCAGCTCCCGTACGGGGATTCCCGCACCAGGCGACAGGCGCCTCGGGGCGGGGGTCTGAGAAGGTGGCTAAGAGCTGTACTGGGGCTTCCGGCCCGTCTGGGAAGCTTGTTTGGCTGGGCCGGGACGGACTCGGCAGGGCGCGGAAGGGAGCGGTGGGCGCGCGCTGGAGAGCGAGCGCGTCGCAGCCTCACCTTGGACACCATTTTCTTGAGCTGGCTCTCCGACACCGCCATGACGACCCACTCGCGACTCCCTTTCCCGCAGGCAGAAAGTCAGCCGCTGCTGGGCTGCCCCAGGCCGTCCCACACAATCGCACACCCCTGACCCGGCCTCAAACAACGGGAAGTCGGAACCAAAACATCACTTCCGTTTCCACTACGTCACTTCCGGGCCGCCATCCTGCGGGCAAGGGTGGATGCGGTGTGGGATTGAGAGAGACTTGACGGGGTGGGTTCCAACCAACCCTACCCTCGAGTGCCGGATTCAGCAGGACGCATCAGGTCCCAAAGATGTGGGCAAGACTGTTCCGAGGGTCGAAACTCTGGTTCAGGATAAGATTGGCAGGTATTTCACAGAGTCGACTTGAGGAAGCTAGTGCCGGAAAGGGAAGAAGTACCAAGGGCTTGCCAATGAGCCTTAATGACTGATTGATCCAGTGGGAGGGCACTGCACTGGCAGTCAGAGTGTTGTGTCACTGACTTGCCCTTGTGATAATGGTAGGCTAGTGCATTTCTAGCTCAGGCATACGTTTCTCCCGACTGTAAAGTGATACACTTGCATTAGATGATGCCCAGTGTTCCTCTAATTAGTGATTTTTTTTTAAGCTTTAAAGACCTTCATACTACGTTGGCAAGGTTAAAATGTAGAGCCTTTGTTTCACGAGAAGCCAGATAGTAATTTCTTCTCCAGGAAACCATTCCTAAAGTCAGCTTTCTCCTGTACCCGGACATAAATGATAATACAGGCCGTATTTTACCTGGTGCTGTATTTTTGTACCTGTCACTGTCAAAATCTAAGCCCTTGAAGGCAGGCTTACTTCAGATCTTCATTGCCTTGCACAATGCAAGGGTAGGTACTTCATCTTAATTGAATTTTTACTTCCCATAAAAATTCTTCATGGTAACTTACATTAGTCATCATTACACATCACCGTCAGTTTTATAACCACAGTGTCATTCAAGGTATTGTACAATTTTGAGTTTGATGATGAGATGTGTGACAGTTTCAATTATTTTAGTACAGCCCTAATGAGAACAAGGCTGTGGTATTGATTCCCTTCAAAGTTGGCATCTAAATGAAGGTCACATTCACAAGGAGGGCGTAACTGAAAGCTTGTAGAAGCATCATTATAAACAGTTGTTAACACACACAAATATAGACTATTCCAATAAGTATTGTTTTTCTTTTCTTTTCTTTTTTTTTTTGAGACAGTCTCACTCCATCGCCCAGGCTGGAGTGCAGTAGCACCATCTCGGCTCACTGCAACCTCCGCCTGTTTTCCAGCTCCTTAGTTAAGCATACAGCTCCAGTCACACCAAACTAGAGGTCAGTCTGTCCTTCCATTTTACTTGCTGTTTTATGTCTTTTAAAAGCAATGGGGTTTTCAAACTGTTCTTAAAGCCATGGCTTAACCAGGAGTCCCTTTAATTAGAGCAACTGTACCTTTATGAATTGGAGGAATGCCAGGTAATATTATTTATATAGTTTATAAATAAATGTAAATTTATATTAAAATAAATTTTGTGTGTGTGTGTGTATATATATATATATTTATTTTTTTTTGAGACAGAGTTTTGCTCTTTCTGTCCAAGCTGGAGTGCAATAGTGTGATCTCGGCTCACTGCAACCTCTGCCTCCCAGGTTCAAGTGATTCTCCTGCCTCAGCGTCCTGAGTAGCTGGGATTACAGGTGCCCACCACCACACCCAGCTAATTTTTTATATTTTTAGTAGAGACAGGATTTCACTATGTTGGCCAGGCTGGTCTTGAACTCTGGACCTAAGGTGATCCACCCACCTCAGCTTGCCAAAATGTTGGGATTACAGGCCTGAGCCATTGCGCCTAGCCTATTTATATATTTTTTGAGACACGGCCTTGTTCTGTTGCCCAGGTTGTAGTGCAGTGGTGTGAACATGGCCCACTGCAGCCTCAACCTCCCTGGCTCACGTGATCCTCCTGCCTCAGCCTCCCTTGTATATGGGACCACATGCGTGTGCCACCATGCCCAGCTAATTTTCTAATTTTTTGTAAAAATGAGGTCTCAATTTGTTGCCCAGGTTGGCCTCAGAACTCCTGGGCTCAGGTGATCCTCCCACCTTAGCCTCCCAAAGTGCTAGGATTACAGGTGTGAGCCACTGTGCCCAGCAATATATTGTTTAAAAAGCTTTCTTGCTGCATGTTTACTATAAGTCTTTTGCAATCTTTCAGGGTCAACACTACCTCAATATACAGTGTTAACTTCTTATCTATTTCATTGGAACCATGAAGGATTGAATGTGTGTGGGGAAAAAGTCTTTGTGGTTTTAGAAATATGCAAAATCAGTTAATTTTTTGATGTGAAGGTAACAGTAGTTGAAATGCTTTTGAAAGTTGCTTGCCATTTCAACACTAAATATGAGTTTTTTTCCACTCATTAGGCATTTTGATTTCTGTCCTCACATATATTAGTGGAGAATTTTAAATCCCCCGATTATCACAGATGAAAACACAAGCTGATGGTGCACCTGCAGTCCCAGCTACTCCATTGGCTGAGGCAGGAGGATTACTTGAACCGAAGAGTTTGAGTCCAGCCTGAGCAATATAGTGAGAACCTGGCTCAAAAACAAAAAGATTTAAAAAGTTTTCTTGCTAAAAATAATTTTTAAAAGTTTGAAAACAATTGATAAAATCTAGTCTCTTCATTTTACACAAAATAACTAAATATCCTGGGTGCTGTGTGAATTGTATGAAAAAATCTCCTTAATCTGAATGTTTCCTTTCACTTAATAAATGAAGGATCATCTGGTGATTTTGAAATCAGTTTATTTTGTTCATTATTCTTAATATTTAAGGAAAACAATGGAAAATGGAAAAAAATTTGTCTTCTGCTACATCAAAAAAGCATTTTAATCCAAACCCCACTAAAAATTGTAACAAGCTCTGCATGATTTTGTAAAAATAAAAACATGAAAGTTAACAAGCATTGAGAATGTCAAATTATCACAAAATCATAGGGAGGTGGTGGTGGTGATATTGCTTCTTGACTTACACTGGGATTTACAACATGATTACTAATATACTTAACACTCAAAGAAATATCTGATACAGAGAATTACTCCTTCATTGTGGCCTTCCAGAGGGCAAAGACTATTATTCATCTTCAAAGAGTCAAATTCTAACACAGTATGTGGAATAACAGTAGGTGTTAAATAAACATTTGTTGTATTGACATGTTCCTTTTATAATTAATGAGTTATTGGTAATTTATTATACAATATTTTCTGGTTATTGTTCAAAAGCATATTACATATTATCTAACTTTAGATATCAAATATTAGAAAAGGCTAGTTTTAAAAACAATAGTTCTTTCAGTTTTACTTTCCTATTTCATAAAAAAGGACAGTAAGAATACATTGTTAGGGTAACATGAACTAATTCGCGTGCATATTGAAATTACATAGACCTAAATGCTTTTCTCTTCAAATGTCCAAGGTTTTTATCCAGTTAACTCTGGTGGGAATCTTTCCAAGCATATTAAATACTTTTCTGCTTTCCTAAACATGGGTTACTGAATATAATTTCACCTTTTCTTTATGACTAAAGTTCATCATTATAAGCATTCCTTATTACACTAAAACAGTGTTAGTTTGCCTATTTCCTCTTTACCTAGGATGTGTCTGCCCTTATAAACCCTCCTATCTCCGTCTAGATTAACCTATTATATGCTTGATTTATTTTTATTTTTATTTTTTTAGAGACAGGGTCTCACTGTGTTGCCTAGAGTGCAGTGGCATGATCATAGCTCATTGTAATCTTGAACTTCTGGGCTCAAGCAATCCTCCTGCCTCAGCCTCCTGAGTAGCTGGAACTACAGGTGCACAGCACCAAACCTGGCAAATTTTTAAACTTTTTATTTTTTTGAGATGGAGTCTCGCTCTGTCGCCCAGGCTGGAGTGCAGTGGTGTGATCGCCACTCACTGCAAGCTCCGCCTCCTGGGTTCATGCCATCCTCCTGCCTCAGCCTCCCAAGTAGCTGGGACTACAGGTGCCTGCCACCACGCCCAGCTAATTTTTTTTATTTTTAGTAGAGACAGGCTCGTTAGCCAGGATGATCTCGATCTCCTGACCTCGTGATCTGCCTGCCTCGGGCTCCCAAAATGCTAGGATTACAGGCATGAGTCACCACGCCCAGCCCATGTTTGTTTTCTATAAAAGCATGCCCTTACATGAGAATGAAAGTAATCCTTTCATGGTATATAGGACCCCAACTTTAGGGTCTTTTGATAACTATTTTGGCTGTTAAGCCTTTTCCCCCTTTTAGTGCCTAGAAAAAGTAGAGGTTGTATGGATAAGTGCCCCTTAATCGCCAAGACTTCTTGAGGCCTAAACCTCAATTTCCTTTTATAAAATGATGATGGTAATAGTCCCTACCTCTGTGGGCTGTTGTGAGGATTCAGTAAAATAATAAAGTGCTTATCATGCTGGCTGGTATATATGAAGTGTTAATGTTAACTGTTACTATCAGTTGTAATGTCACAATAGTAACAATAAGCTATCTTTCACATAAGAAAATATTGCTGTTGATCTATCACCAAAGAGTGTGCTCTGAACTGTATGATCAGGAGAGGTTAAAGGATTTGCTCAGAACAAATAATGGGGAGAGTCCGTTCGACCTCTCCCTATTATGACCAATGTTTTTAATGAAAATCTCATAGTTGGGCTCTAAAGTAAGCTGCTTGGCTTTCATTCATAATCTATTTCCACTAAAAATATACATTTGTGTATGGTTCTACTAATATCACAATTAGTTTATGAGATGTTGGAGATCTTATATACTCCAGGAAGAAGTTATAGAAAATTTCATAAAGTCCCACTGGAAATTAAATTAAACTTTTAATGCATATCATTTTAAAAATTCACTTTCCATTTTCTGTTTTAAAGTGCATGTAAAATTCTTTTCCATTTTTTGGTAGCTAATTAATTTGAAGAAGGGAAATATAATGCTTTACTAGTACTACCAACAGGATTTTACACAAGAAACATTAGTAACTTAAGCTGTGGATCCTGTGAATGTACAATTGATACAGATTTTGTAAATCCATACTGGGCCTTGAACTTATGTTTATTATCAAAGTCAAAGGGTAATTTTCTTTTAAAGATGTATTACTTATAAAATATTCCCAAAGTGTGAACTGTGCTTTTAGTTTAGGATATATGATTTAAATTGATGCATACTTCAGATGAATGTTTACCCCTGCTGTAGATTTAAAGAACAGCATAGATATCTCAAGAACCCCAAATAAAATTAATTTTTCCCCTCCTTATGTAACTTCTTAAGGATTTAAATCACAGAGCTAATCAAGAAACCCTCTACTTTAACCAAGCAGTTTGTAAGGATAAATAGCAGGATACAGAAATTCTCAAACCTATATATACTGGTAAAATTAAATGACTTTTCCCTTTAGGTAGAAGTCCAGCCTCTTAAATTGCATTTGAGAATCAAAGTTTTAACTGTAGTTGGAGACCATGGATTGAGGATGCACTGCTTTGGAGTTTCTCAGAAACTGTATCTTCTTTCAGTGTGGTTTTGATGACTTCAGATACTCCACTGATTCCAAGGATGCAAGGCAAACTTAAAAACACTTCACTATCTATATCATAATATCCCTGAAATGAGAAAAATAAGGGTTTTAATAGAACTAAATCACTGCAAAGAAGTTAATACAAAAATGCATACTTTCTTGCTTTCTTAGTTCTAAGACAAAGTGATACAAGTTGGACTCAAAAAGGTTTTTTTGTTCATTTACTTATTTTTATTTTATTTTTAGAAGTCCAGACCTCACAATCATTCATTGATTTTATAAACTTATCATTTCAGAAAATTTTTGAGAGATGGAAGCAACTTGGTCAGACACCCACTTTGTAGAGAAGTAAGCTAGCCCCCTGCAATATGGGTAGCAGGTTGGGGGCTAAGAAAAAAAAAAAAAATAGTTGGCCGGGCGCGGTGGCTCAAGCCTGTAATCCCAGCACTTTGGGAGGCCAAGGCGGGTGGATCACGAGGTCAGGAGATCGAGACCATCCTGGCTAA